ATCAAGAATGTCTTGTCCCCCAATTCGATGCTAAAGTTCGTGCCCGTCATTCGAGACCTCGACCCTGACGAGGAGCGAGATTACAATCTCTGGCTTGGCGAGCTGGAGAGAATGGACAAAAGCTGTGGATTCGAGACTCTCGGCAGCCGTGACCAGCGGGTCGCCCGGACGATCAAAAAGGAAAGGACTGCGACGCTATCACTATTCTTGGACTCCTGGCTCAGAAAGATCGCTATCGACAACTGTAATCGAACTACCCTGATTCGCCACATGGCAAGTTCAAATTCCGATGATGCAATCACGCCACAGCAAAAGACGAGTCTGGTCAACCTGCACAGCGACGACAATATGGCCGCAACTACGCCAAGGGCTTTGAAAGCTGCGAGGGTGTTCACGGAGGCATTTGATCAAGTCTTTTACCATGACGCTCCTAAAGGAAAGGAAATCCTCCTTCGTGACGTTCTGAAGCTTGACAAGTCCGTCGATGAGATTGTCGAATCGAAGAAGACAGCAAAGGGCGGGCAAGATGACAGCGAAAAGGTAGACTCTTTGGAGCAATGGATCGAAACCCACACGGTTATGGGCTGTCTCATCTGCTACAGCAATTCATGCGAGCATGGAGACTACAGCATTGAGAACCACAAGCGCAATTTTTCTATGGATTGCATCGGCATGTACGGGCGAATGTTCTCAGCAAATCGCACGGTATCCTCTAGTGATCCGGTAGAGCCGCTGGAGCCTCCCCCGCCGTGCGAAAGACAGTGCTTCCAGATCTATGGTACCGGCGGCGCTGAAGCGCAGGGGAAGCCATGGACCAAAGATGAGACTCTGTTACTACGCAGCTTGTTCACGATCTTGGATCATAACAAGGTCCGAGTCAAGGCTCAATGCGCTACTGCTGAGATTCTCAATAGAGATTGCCGGGACGTACATCGCCATCTGCAATCTCTGGACATCAGGCTTCCGCCCATTGAAACGATTGATCAGCCGAGGGTCAAAAGCTTTCCTTGGTACGATCGCAAGAGAAAGATGCTCTTGGGCGACTGGCAGGCAGAGACCAACTCTCATGATACCAAGGTCCGGCCATCCAACGATCCATGCCATCACGAAGGCCCTTGCTCGAAAGAAAACGACTGCCCATGTGCGCTGAACGACATTTTGTGTGAGCGCTTTTGTCGTTGCACGGAGGAGTGTTGCGCTTGGAAATTTACGGGTTGCGGCTGCCATGGCAGCGGCAAAACGTGTTTGCAAAAACAGAAGGAGGGCCGTCCTTGTATTTGCGTACAGTTAAATCGCGAGTGTGATCCCGACCTTTGCGGAAGCTGCGGTGCTGTTGAGCGAGCCGATCCTGAAAACCGGCACGACGATGCGCTCTTCCAGACCGGTTGCCAGAATACTGCCATCCAACGAGGTGTCAGCAAAGCAGTCGTCCTTGGCAAGAGTCAGTTGGAAGGCTGTGGCTACGGTCTCTTCACTGCAGAAGACATCGCACAGGACGAATTCGTGATTGAGTACACGGGCGAGCTCATCGTGGCAGATGAAGGAGTCAGAAGAGAGGCACGCCGCGGCGAGGCTTTCTCTGTAGAGAAGAGCACATCATATGTGTTCAGTCTCTTAGATTACGAAGGCATCTGGGTCGACGCTGCTATCTACGGCAATCTCAGTCGCTACATCAACCATGCCGTAGAAAATGCTAACGTTCAGCCCGGCATTCTCTACGTAAATGGCGAATACCGTATCCGATTTTCGGCAACTCGCAACATCAAGGCTGGAGAGGAGCTTTTCTTCAACTACGGCGAAAACTTCCCTAATCTTACTAAGAAGATGATCAAGGAGAAGGCTGACATTGAAGGAGACGCAGAGTCTGGACCAGAAGAAGGAGTAATACCGGTCAAACGTGGTCGAGGCGGACGCCGAAAGACAGTCAATGGCACGCAGAAATCAGCTGCCCAGAAACTCGCCACGGCGAAAATCGCGAAGAGCGTTCGCACCGGAGCTCGGAAAGAGGCGCCACAGGTGACGATAGACGATTACGAAGCTTTAGCCGACGTTGAAACGGCACCGAGTGCAAGCCGGAAGCGCAAGCGCGTCGCGAAGAGCGATGATGAGGACGAGGACTTTCATCCGTCCTTGGAATCAGAAGAGAATGCTGAAGGGCGAGCCAAGGGGAAGCGGCCAGCCGTATCTCGTCGCCGAAGCGGAATACAACGCGTCAGATCAATGGGTTCTATCATACCCTCAGACTCGGAAGCAGATGGTTCCCAGCGAGCAACCCCTCGTAAGCGTGGACGGGCACGTCCCAATAGTTCTCACGGTGTTAGCAATTCTCAAACAACTGCAAAGACTTCGGCAAACCCCGAGAAATCAGCAGTTGATACGCCGCCTCCGAAAAAGAGGCGCGGACGCCCGCCGAAGAATCCTCGTCCGCCGAGCCCAGCCGTGGAAAAGCCACAAGAGGTGGAGCACGTTGAAAATGAGATTCGCGCCAGTCCGCTTCTCACCCGGAACCCTGAGGCAGAGGGTGGCACGATCTCGGTTGACTTGAGCCAGCCTTCGAGGTCTGCACGGGGCCGCAAGTTTACAACGTCTGCTCTCAGTCAGTCTGTTGAGGATCCTATGGACGTGGACGAAGCTGAGGCAGAGATCGACGCGACTCCTTCGCGGTCTAGAGGTCGAAGGAGGGCTGAGGGCAATTCGATCACAGCTCGTGGGGCATCTCGGGGTGGCCGCACATCTGTGTCAAGAGCGCGTCGCTTGCCTACCGAATCGGATGCTATCGTGGACTCGGATGAAGAACCCCTCACTCTCACTCCATCATCCCGGAGGAAGCGGATGCAAAAAAGGGTCTTTGGACCTTTGGAGGTGAATGACAGCGAGTCCAGCTTTAAGATGCCTGGCGTTGGTTCAGACTCCGATGATGATGACGACGACGACGATGACGACATTGTTGGTCTCAAACGCACTTCTAGGCAAAGGAAACTTCCAGCTCGATTCCGTTCATCCGACGAAGAGTCTTGACAATCAAAGGAAGCATGACCCATCGATTGGGGTGACTGCAGCGCGGACGAACATCAACTGAGCGCTACTCTGCGGTCACAAAGCATGCTATGATGGATGAGTTAGGATGGTGTGGAGGTAATTGAGGTCGCATTTTGCATTCAGAGAAGGCATGTAGTTGAAGGGCTCTTCAAGTCATATGGAGCTTGGTTTTGGGCGATGGCGGCATCTTCCCGGGTCTACATTTTTTTCAGGCGTATTCAGGAGTAAAAAGCATACATATCTCATGCCGCGGACGGGATACATAACAACGTCTTGCTAGGGCAGATGCATTATCCACCGAATATACGTACTTGCATAGATTATTGGTCTTCTAAAGTGCTGTGCTACAATGTGCCTGAACCACGAACACATGGCGTGGAGCCAGCTTGACCTGATATCTAAAGTACTTACTTGTAGATCAGAGGCTCGCTTATCTAGAGTTCTTACTGTTCACCGCCTCGTGGCTGTTAGACTTGACGTTCGGTTCTAAATCCTTCGACCTATTGCTAAAACACCAGGAGCCATCAGAGGCTCGCCCAACACTCCCAAATCGTCCCCTCTTCGGGCCAAGTGAGCATTGGATCCTACTGCCATCAATAAATGCCAATGACTTTGATTTCAACGATTTCTCAGCAATAAAGCATACAACCTCAACTTATTCTGAGCCAGCTGAGAGTATCCAGGGGACGGCTCGAACTGTGGTGATAGCTGGGCCGAAACGGATCTCGACTTTGACGCATGGTACTGGAGCTGAACGAACATTGTCAACCGGGCTGCGGCGACAGGAATGTGTCCCCCTCTCCAATCTTCGTATAGAATCACGAGCGGAACGAGCCTCAAATCCAAATTCCATGGCACTATGCCGAAGAGACGGTGCCATGGTTACACGACTCCGTCCGGCTACATGGCAGATACTCAACCTTTCGTCCTTCAAGGGCTCAACACCATCAATGTTCATATCCAAAGCCAGTGCAATCCATGCTCAGGTCCATACTCAGACCACACAACTCTCTGGTTCTCTTAAACTTGGGGGCCTTGTGTGCAACTACATCAGCTAATCTGTATCAGTACGGCTGGCTGACTGGTTGTGCGCGTAGCTTCCCCGGAGTCATCCGCGCGCCTGGTGTCTTGGTGAGGACGAAGGGGCGGATGACATATTTTTTCTCTTTTTCTTTCCGCTTTCTTCTCTTAAGTATGTTGAAGAGATGGATAACTTGAGAAACTTTCACTCTTGCCTCTTACATATAGCAATCTGTCCGCTCTGCGCAAGGTAGGACGAGAAAGATAGATATTCGATAAATTACCACTATCTGATATCTTCTTGTCTCTTCTAGGCTGCAAAAAAAAGTTCGCCTAGCTGGGCTTGGTAGCCTAAAGTCTCACAACTCGGACTTCGAAGTGAGGGATTTAAACGAGCAAACCAGCCGACTGGCTTGAGAACCCATCCAGAAGAAGACCGCATAGTAGCGGTACTGATGGCTCTGACACGACCTGCATCCCCCTCACTCTAATTCGGTTAGTAGATACCATACTCGAGTGCGCAGTGAGAAAAATCTGATTTCTGATCAATCCAACCAACACTAGTACATGCTCGTCCAAAGTTCAGTCTCGCGTGGGTTTGCAGATGAGGTTGATCCACAATTATGTAGCTAAACTTAGAGTTCCGGGAACTAGATGAAGCAATTGCTTGGCATGCTATCCTCTTTAACGACACTTTTATTAACGTGTTTGTAGGTGATTTAATTCCAATTTGATAGCAAGCCTTTTCACTTTCAAAGACCAACAATCAAATTGCCCTTGCAAATCCCAGGTAAAATGGGGCTATTCTTCAAACAAAATCGCAACTCAAAGTCCTTCGGACGCCTCCCAACACCATATACGCCTACACTTCAGGTATATACAACCCACAGCTCGATATCATACACATATTCACTCAGCCAGCTCGCTGTGCGCTCAGCTGACTATCTCTTGAAAAACTTCTTCTCGACTGTGCGCAGCACCACGTAGGAGACTGCTGCAAAAGAGAAGGCTAATTCAAAGCCAATATCACCGCCAAAGCTTCCGCCGGCAAGCTTGCCAATGGGACCGGTGAACCAGCTTTGTGACATGCCGAGCACGGCACCCATGACGCCCATCAAGAAAGCCACGATGGCGGCGAATCCAGGGGGTAGGCGCGAAGGCGTGTCCCAGTCGCTGATGTCGTACCCTCTGATGCCACGACGGAAAACGACGTGATCAGTGAGACTGACGCCCTCGTAGATGGCGAGCCAGTAAGCGATGATGAGCATGAAGTTCTCGAGCCATGATTCGAAGTGATCGTAGCCCGGAATGCTGATGGCAATGTAAATGCCAGTGCCAACAAAGACCCAGATGAATCGGGGAATACGCTCGGTCTTTCTGGACAGGACCTGCAGAGAGAGCGAGACCGAGTAGATATTGGGGCAGTTGTTGGCGATGATCGAAAGGGCGAGGATGACGAGGCAGAACTGGCCAAAGCCACCCAGCTTGGTGACCAGAACGGCTGCCAAAAGACCTCCGATTCCAGAGTTGGCGTAGGCGTCGGAAAACGTGGGGTCAGTAACGCTGGCAGTCATGACGGCGGCTCCCAGCAACTCGGTGAAGCACAGGGTGAAGAAGAGGCCGCAGAAGGTGACGAGGAAGACCTTCATTCTGGAAGTGGACGCCGGGTAGTAGCACGTGTAATCGGCCGCGTAGGATGTCCAGCCCGTCGCGAAGCCGTAAACGCTGGCAGAGAAGGAAAGGACAGAGCCCGCTTCTGACGGGCCGGTGCTCATGGGCAACATGCTGTTGAACTTGCCCGAGTGCGCAAAGACGCCGAGAACGATGAGGAAGATGATGGCGCAGGGGATCCAAGAGAATCGCTCGTAAGTGTGGACAATTCGGTAACCAAAGGTGCAAATCATCAGAGTCGAGATGGCAATAACGAGGATACCAGCCCACCCAGGCATGTTGTTGTTGACCGCATGGAAGAGTTGAGCACCGACGATGGTGTTCACTGCCGACCAACCTAGACAGGCAAGGATATTGAAGACCGCAACTAGTTCAACCAGTCAGTAAGGCCAAGGCGATTTGGCAGATAGTCACATACTCAGCTTGACAGCGTAGAAGCCAAACCAGTAACGGGACAAGACCATTTGTCGCAAACCGAATGTGGGGCCGAAAGTCGAGAAGAAGCAGACCGGTAAGACTCCCAGAAAGTTGATAAAGACAATGGTCAAAGCCGTATCAACAAATCCGAGACTGAAGACTGGAATAGCCAAAACACCAATGGCAAAGGATGAGACTACCATATTGGCAGAGCACCACTGTAGAAGGGTCAGGATGGTTTCCTGGCGGAATGAGCGCAGCCATCAAGCTTGACTTACCAACGTTCCGACGTTGGCGACGGCATCGTTGATTCGTTCGTCTTCGGGGACCCTCTCGATACCTCTCTGCTCGACACCAAGCTTGCCCGCCAGCCTTTGCAGTCTTGCGTATGTGCTGGTTCCGGTTGCGAAGTCAGCCTGGTGAACGGCATGATCATCCCCCAAGAAGCCTCGCTCGACATCGGTTGCCGACTTCTTTTCCCCGCCAGTCGACGAAATGTCGCTCTTGGTCTCGAATATAGCCATCTTTGGACAGTGGTGATTCCCGTGAGGTTGGTGATGATATTGGATCTAGTTCACCAACAGCTCATTGCTTTCCCCGAAGATGGACTGAGAATGGTGGACGGGGGAAAGGTTCGTGGGCGGGAAACCGGCAGAGACGAGCAGATGCTCAAAGCACTGGTGAATTATGAGGGGATGAGACTGAGAGATCCACGAAGCAGCCAGAACATGTAGTGGCGAGCCGAGTAGTAATATTCATTGCGGAAAGTGGAGGAACCCTTATCAGGGCGCGACAGACGGCGGACCGCGGAATACCCAGATTTCTGGAGTCTAGATACAGCCTCAGTCGTGGGCTTTTGCAGAGCACACACCAAGTCCTGACGCGAAACTGGTGTAGGTGGGGGACATGGAGCGATCAAGATAAGAACCGCGGCATTGAAGAGCCTTTGATGGCCCACCGACGCGTCCTTGATGGCGGGACTGGTGTGGTCCGGAAGTAGGCCGGCACTTGACAGCCGTTTGGGATAGGTTCGGCAAGGGGAACTGGAGCTCTCGAAGTAAGCTAGAAGAAGAACTGGGAGGCAAAGTTCGGGTGTTCCGGGCTGATCTGCCCAATGGCGAATTTCGAAGGGCAATGATTCTGGATACTTGTTGGTCACTATGGAGGCAGTCAGGCGATAGTTGCGGAGGCCATAGCCCGTAGGTCAGGGCTTGACGTGCTTCTCCAAGACAACTCTGAATTTTTGTCTTTTTTTCCCCTCTGATTCTTTGGCAGAGGGTATCACCCCACGATCCAAAAAAGGAGGCATACTTCTTTGAGTGGACGCATTGCAAAGTACCATCCGTGCTGATAGCAAGCAGGGATTGGCCACCCAGGTATGCGACCCAGGTTTCTGTTAGTCCGTGAACCTGCAACATGGGAGGCAAAATAGGAGAGGCCCGGTGAGTAAATTCGAAGAGTCGAGGGTTGCTGAAGATGGCTTATCTTGGCCGACGAATCTGGACGATAAGATAGACCAGGATTGAGGGGATTAGAAAGACTGCAATTGGTTGTTGGAGACCAGTGTGTCCGCTATGGGGCCGAGTCTAGCTGCCGCAGAGCCGAAAGCATGAGAAGACGAGAGATTGATGATGATCTTGAATGGCTTCCATGCGGACTAGAGTCTAGCGCAACAGATGAAGTTTGGGGTCTCCAGATGGGGGAGAGACACAAGTGACAGAGTTGACGAGCGCCCGGGTCCGAAGTCTGGAGATAGGAGGTGCCCGTCAGATCTTATCGTACTTGCTTTCGATCGACACTTGAGGGCAGCAGGAAGTATCCGTAGGAAGAGACCGAAACATCAATAGCCGGCATGATAGGTACCCATGCATAGTACTCCGTATGGCGTAGCGAGTCGTGACCACTGGCAGTGACAGCAAGTTATGACTTGTGAGCGGTGACTGGTGAGATGCATCGCGAAAAAGGGAAGGGCCGCCCACAACTTCCCGGCCCAGGGTTCGTGCCCACAAAGCTTGTCTTTTTGCAAAGGGAAGGCGTGGCTTGGCAATGTGGCACTAGCCACATATCTTGTGGCGGTGCACAGCCAGCATCGGTCCTTCCAGAATCCAAGATAAATAACATCCCTTCCAAGAACATAACATTTCTGTTCTCAGTCTCAACGCCCTCATGTTCAACATTCCGACATAATGAGCCATTCGGTCCGCTAACCTCACCCGAAGAACGATGATTCCGTTCGCAGCAAAGCAGGTGCTGGCAGAGTTGTGGCCCGGCCCGTATTCATAGACATGAGAGAACGCCCGTCTGTCAACTGATCTCTTTACATTCCACCAGACCCCAGGTTTTGAACGGGCTGCTTCAGCGCCATGCTTGAGAGGCTTTGGGAGTCTCGCAACATCTTGATCATTCCCGGCTCAGATTGTCTCGATGCCAGCCATGGCGTGGATTGTACCTCGATGGTCTTCAGCCCCTTTCGAGCTTGCATTGGTGCGATTACGCCGCCTTCTGGAGAAGGCATTTGACGAATTCTCTACGCAACTATTCCGTATCCTGACTACCAACACGAGAATAGCTGACGCTCGGCACGCGTTTCGACCCCAGGACAATAAACAATCGACAGCGCGAGGATTTGGGTCATGTAGCGTCGGATGAACCACTGGCACCTTGTATTCAAGTCGTTACCTCGTTGAACACATCGGCCTCGAATGTTACGCAGTACACACAACTCCCATCCTGCAAACGGCACGACGTGAAGTGACACTAACCAAGCAACCCAACCACAGACGGACATGCCTGGCTCTGGTTGGTATTCGTGCGGATACATGGAACACGGCGTGGTCACCGACCGTTGACACTGGTGCAGCGGATCCCGGCAGCCGTCAAGGCTCCTTGCTGGCAGCAGAAGCAACACTTCTGAGCACACAAGTTTGGAAAAGACCAAGTCGAGGCTACAGATGCCTACTACGACGGGCTGTCCTACAATTTCGTCGTCCTGAAACCATGGGGATGCAGGGGAGTGAGACTTCACTCTATCGTCCGATAACACCATTCGGGCGCTCCCTTCAGACCTCTTGTGGGATTCAGACCTTTCCAACAACGTCGTCCAAGCTTCTGCCGCTAAACCTCTTCCCACCGACACGGATAACTGCCAAGGAAAGCTGTTGGGGGCATCTTTCGTCGTCCTGACGCTCACAGCGCTGGGCCCCCACTGTTTGCGGTCGGGTCGTTCGTTGCATGGACTCGAGAATCGAACGCACGCCAAAAATCTCGACAACAACGTTTGACAAAGAAGATTCAGCGGCCTCCCGTCAGCCACTGCGTGATTTAAACGGCGGTTGGACCAAGATTGCATCGTGAACACGAGGGAGAGCCACGCTGCGTTGCTGCCCACCAAACCCCACGATCCCGCTCAGAGTTTGAATTACCAGAATGCAATCTCATCAGAGGTCTCAGCAGCAAGCCATGGCGAACCTTGTTTATTCTCGTCTAATGTCCGACGCGATCAACACACCAGGAAAAAGCATGGACGACATTTTTCAACCATTTGCTTTTTGGCTGCAGTAAGGCTGGGCACCTTCGACGGTAACGGCCGTTTGTTTGCACTCTACAATCGTACCAGATGCTTGAGTCGGTCATCAACCTTTACCTGCGTCTTGGTGCCTCTCAGCCACAGTTTCTATTCTTGTCCCACATGTCGCCTCCCCGAGCTCGCCGGCTGTAACTCCCGCGCCTCAGTTTCTTCGTCAGAATCTTCGTATGCCTCAGCTCCCCACCACAACAGCGCCAAACCTCCCCTGTCCTAGTCCCGCGCCCTCAGCTCGAGCTAATGGCACAGACAATGTTTCCCAGATTCCCAGCATTCTCGGTCCCTGCCGACCACTAGCCACTTTGTAGAACTCGTTCGTGACAACATTGCCAGTAGCGTTTGCTTCCCTTCACAAGGTCTCGGCCAGAGCGATTGAATGTCGCCGGTCCAGTAGACCATCATCCGCAAGGTACAACCCCTCCTCTTTCTGTTCGCGCCCTACGTCCCCCGGCAATGGCCCTGGCCTAGTAGATCTTGATCCATCAGACTCGATTTCGTTTGTACACTTGGCAGTTCACCCCCGGTCAATTTCTCCTCTGTAGAACGGAACACCTGCCATCTCCTCCTCCGCTAGAATGAAAGGCAAAGGTTACCACGGCTGCTACAAGACCGATGACACGAGGCATCGTGTATCCGACTGTCAAATTTCAAGCTGCCGTGTCTTAGTGATGCACATGATTCTCGCCCAGATGATGGATCGTGATTCGAGGGGAATTGCCAGGCACGTGTCGTCTGTATCTCTCCCTTCCATCTATCATTGCTTTCCAGAATCGGCCGGCCCCCGTAAACCACCCCCCCAAAGCACCCCTGGGCTTCCAGATGACTGCGACGGGCGGGAGATGGGCATTGACTAACGGCCGGAGCAAGAAGCTGCAAGGCGTGGCGCGGACTAACGCCGTCACCCTTGGGCTTCTGATGGGAGCAGAATGCTCGTGTGCGAAAGTACGTCTTGTTTTGTTTGTCCATATTAAACAGCATTCCTCCCGCCCTGTCATCACCCAGGACTCGACCCCACTGCATTCCGTGAGATACCTGGTTTGTAACTGAGCTTCATAAAGAAGTCTCTTGGCCTCTTTTCCGCTTTCCCGCCCTCTTTACTCGTCCCTCACTTGTTTCCTCCCTGTGTCCCCTTTGCTACCTTTTCAACCTCTATCGCTGCCTTCAACAAAGCGACGATCTGGGTTCCCAATTTCATCAGATATCTCGGCCAAAGTCAAAAGTCACCGACAAAACATCCACAACAAACAAACACCAACTCGGACAGCTCTTCCTGTCTATTACATTCGAACGGAAAAAATGCAGTTTCCCGCGGTATTCTCCATGGTTCTCGCCGTCGCCTCTCTCGGCGCCTTCGTCCAGGCTCGCCCGTCTCCCTGTCCCGATGTTCGTCGTCTCCATCCTCCATCCAACCCCTCCGGTGCCCACCGCAATATCACTAAGAGATTCTGACTTTTTTCATATATAGTGGAAGCGAGATGACATCCTCAACGGCAAGGCCAGCCCTGAGATTTGCTGCTCATACGGCGTCTGCAAGGGCGACGTCGTCGTCATGAGCGGTTGAAGGAGCAGAGAAGAATCATTTCCCATCAGAAAGCTCAGGTGCAAAACCCAAGCTCACGCAATAACGACTACTCCGCAACACACAATAGGCGCGCCCCCCAAAAAAAAACATCGTCAAAGCGTTCATTCAACGTTAACACGACGACGATGAAAAGGCCCTGCCTGCTCCCCCTACCACCACCCAACACAACACCCCTACCTATCATACAAAGCCAGACAGTCGACTTGAAAAAGGACGACATGCACATATCGGCATTTACATATGGGCCCCCATCCTCCCAAACAACAAGTCAGATAGATACGCGGCGTTTTTACGGGCGCAACCTAGGGTTTCCCACAAATTGGAGCCCTTGCTTTTTTTCTTGTAGGAACCAGGGATTAGCAGACTTCCTATTCGGGATTGGACGACGGACACCGACCGCAGAAGATGCAGATGCACGCAGCACATCCACCACACTTTCCGTGTGGCCATGCCGCATCTTTCGTCGGGTATCTTGACGTGCTTGAGGATATTCCTCTTCCTCTCTTTTGGACGAATGGGAAGGGTCGGTCGGAGTTCCGCTGCCCCCTCCTCACCCTCACCCTCTCGGCTTTCAAGAAGATGTTTCTTGGGTGGTCGGGCGGCGGAGTGAGACGGCTGCACCGGGCTTACACTAGACGCGACTTGATGAGTCTTCTGCTAGTTACCAGGTCATCTTATCGAGAGTGAACTGTCGAGGCATGAGAAAGTCAAAGATCGACCTCGCGGGAAAAGGAAACCCCACTTAGAGAGTATCCAAGAAACTAAAATAAAGCCTACTATGAAATCATACAGAAATTGTCATGGTCTTGATAGATCATACCATCATCAATCACATGCTCAAAGCCAAAAGTAAAGACACTATGAAATTCAGACTTATTTTCAGAAACGGGATACGGGTCCACGAGATGCAAGAAAATGCATGTTTGGTGCTGACTGGGGCGCCTCTCGGAGACATTCCCTCTTCTCTCTCTTCGCTCACGCTTCGCTCACTTTCCCCCCTCCACGTTGCGCGTCCATTGGCCACTGTCTCGTATCGCGAACATCGGTCCATCGGGTAGCTTGGCTTTCGTTTGCACGATAAGCGTCCCGCATATTCGGTACGAGAAAAGGCCGTCTAGCGGGTGTTCCAACCTCAACCTCACGAGACAGACCGCATTCGTCGATTTTCCACGAGTTCGTTTGCCAACCTTGAAGGTTGAGCCCCATCGTACGTTTCTTTTTGCTTGACTCAGTGATCTTGATCTCACACTCAACCACATAACCTCACCTTGACATCACCAGACGTGCATGGTGAGCTGATGCCAATGCTTCAAGAGGCTGTTCCGGCGAGAAATGTCTCTGTCGAGACGACGAACCCGTATGAGCCCTACGGCAAGGCTTAGTGAGCTGTTCATTCACTTTCCGTCCCAGCCGTGCCCGCAATCACAAAGAAATCCACGACCATGACCAAAGTGGGGGAACGAGAGGGTATAGACCAGAGAAGAAGAGGGCAAAACGAAAACTCACAGAAATATTGTAAAGGCACACCTCGGGAGCCCCAGGCGTCCCGGTCCCGCAACAGTCCTCAATCAAGATGCAATCCCACCCGGCATTATACGCATCCGTCAGCGTGCCGAGAACGCACTGGTCGGTGTTGACCCCGGCGAAGAACAGCGTTCGTATCCCTCCTGCTCCCCTTCCATCAGCGGTCCCGGAGGCAGCCTCCTCACCATCTTCATCATCCTTCCGAGTCCGCTCTAGATACTTCCGAAGCGGCTGCTCCGGGCTCCACATCCCCGACATCCTATTCTTGTCGCACCGCACGTCCTCCTGCGGGCGGAGGCTGCTCCGCTTCAGCGGCTCGTAAATGTCGGCGTTCCACTCGCCCGCGACGAGGCAGCGGCCCCTGTCGCCGCCGAGATCTGCACCGAGGCCGAGGCGGGCGACGGTGCCCTTGTCGTTGGTCGCCTCCTCGCCCAGGATGAGCGATCGCGAGAAGCCACGTTGGACGCTGGCGGGCATTCGCGCCAGGTCGTCGTCGGTCAGGCCCCAATTTAGCCAAATTACCTGCAATGGCAAAAAAGTGAGCTACGATACGTCGCCTGTTTAACCGCCACCACCCTGGCAAAAGTTCCCGTCCCCCAATCCCCTTCCAGGCATCTAACCCCCGCGTGCCCCTCATCTCTTTAATGTCTAGCGACTTCTGCTCCTGTCCCTCCGGTAAGACGGGCGGTAACGTCTGCCGGATGCCCCGAACGTCCGAACAGGGCGGGGGAGAGTAGTACAGAATGGGTTCAAGGCCGTACCTGAATACCTAATTCGCGGCATTTCTCAACAGCCCTCTTGGTCTGCTCCACCGCAGCAAGCCCGGCCGGGTGGTCTCGACAGCTGGGGTGCAAGAAATAGTTTTGCATATCGACAACCACGAGCGCCGTGCTGTGGGGGTTCACCGAAACCGACGTCCCCGCTGGTCCTTGGCTGGTGCCGACCTTCCAAGCCGGCGACCGGCCCCGGGTGAGATCATAGGTTCGCGACGGTCTATCGTAGTGCCACTCGTCGCCCGGCGGGCCAAAGGTCAAGTCTGGGCGCATGACAAAGGCGCGAAAAGGGTCCGAACTTTTTCCTCGGATATTCTAGTCCCGACGGCGGCGGGTATAGCTCACTTCTTGCCCCGATTGCGGGTAATGTATGGCCTGGAGCGATTGGATGGGTGCAAAAGTCACTGAGTGTGTGTGTGTAGGTTGAAGAAGAAAAGGTCGGATTGCTCTCATGCAGTAACAAGAAGTCGGTAGATAAGAAATCCCGCAGAGCGCGCACAAAGCAGCAATGCACTGCAGCGCTTCTATCGGATGGAGGTTTCAACAAGCCTGGTCTGTCTATCAATTCTTCGGGAAGATGTGCGTCGGCGCGGCTATCGTCCGACCCCGCGGCCAACAAGAGTTGCCAGGCCTACTGCAGGACGAGAAACAGACACAGTCTCACATGTCAACATCATGAGGTTCTGACTGCATCAGTATGCAAGGCAGCAAATTTCCAAATATCTAATTAGCTTTCGGGACCGCGTCTGGGCGTGATGAGACGATGAAATCTCGAAAGACTTCCCCATGAAGGCGCATCTCGAAAAGGGAGGTATAGGACCGAGGCACGATGCTCACTGCTACCTAAGGCGTCTGCCGCATGCGACTCCCCGGTGATTAAGGCGAAGTTCGAATGGGGGTAATTCGGGGCCGACCTCCAAAATGTTTGGAGACTAGATGAGATAGGAAAAGGAGGGGAGGGGGTTCAAGTTTCCGTGGAGCTAATAAAGGATCTTGCGTCGGCCACAGTCGCGATTCGTGGAGCGTCATGGTCCTCAGCAAGCGACAATACGACGGCAAGGGAAAGGCGATGGTCAAACATAAACCGTAAAGATGCGGAAACCCAACGAAGTCCCCTGGTTCGGATACCACGTGAACGCAAAAGAAAAAATCCCCGTGGCGCGTGTGTTGAGATGGTTGCCCCTCCCGGCGTGCCTGGACCTGGAAAAACGCGAGGCGTGCCGCTTCGTTGTATCCGTAGTGAGACTACATGAGAGAAAGCGTAGTTTGCCAGTGAGCTTGTCGCGGGGAATGGTATATGTCGGGTACGGATCGTCATCGTGATTGGAGCGGAAAGTCGCAAAGAGGATGAATCGGTCTTACAGCGACCGAACGATTCCCACAACGCGGCAGCGCCCCACCCCTGCCAACAAGCTTCGACCCTGCGTGACGTTTCGACGTGGGGAACTGGGGTCAAACTATTCGCCTTGGGCGACGAGGGGTGATGAGGGGCTGGATTCGAATAATTGTTGACCAAAGGGCCGACGAAGCTGCTGGATTGTTGGCCGGCCCAGAAAAATAAAAACAAAAAATCCACGAGTAGCTCCAAGGTATATATCCAGCCGGGCGACTGTCCGGTCGTGTGTCGTTCTGCTCTAAGCTGCTCTACTCTTCCTCCTCTCTGTCCGCTTCGTCTGTTCTGTTCGTCCATACGCTCGACTCAGGTTCTCGCCGTTGCTGTCGCTGTCAGTCGTCTCGTCAATCTTGCACCCACGTTTCATACCCCGCCGACAGATCACATTAGTACCTGGCAAGAGAGACACTCTTCTGGACCATTCTTTCATACCACTGTTCGCACACACAGAAACAACCCAGCCTTCACAATGTCCCCTTCAGCTGTTGATCCTCCCGCCTCGGTCGGCTCCGTTAAGGTGTCCAAGGCCAACATTGGTGTCTACACCAACCCCGCACACGACCTGTGGATCAACGAGGCCGAGCCCAAGTTGGAGGCCGTTCAGGCCGGCGAGGGCCTGCAGCATGGCGAAGTCACGGTAGCCATCAGAAGCACCGGCATTTGCGGGTAAGGATTTTCGTGCCAGACAAAAGTGCCCCCCTTAAGGTACAAGGACGAGACTAACGGAGAGATACAGATCCGACGTTCACTTCTGGAAGCACGGATGCATCGGACCCATGATTGTCGATGGCGACCACATTCTCGGCCACGAGTCCGCCGGTGAGATTCTCGCCGTCCACCCCAGCGTCACCCACCTCAAGGTTGGTGACAGAGTCGCCGTCGAGCCGAATGTCATCTGCAACTCCTGCGAGCCTTGTTTGACCGGCCGTTACAACGGTTGCGAGAAGGTCCAGTTCCTGTCCACCCCGCCGGTGCCTGGTCTCCTGCGACGATACGTGAACCACCCTGCCGTCTGGTGCCACAAGATCGGTAACATGTCATATGAGAACGGTGCCATGCTGGAGCCCCTAAGTGTCGCTCTTGCCGGTATGCAGCGTGCCGGTGTGCGCCTTGGCGACCCGGTCCTCGTCTGCGGTGCAGGCCCCATTGGTCTCATCACCCTTCTCTGCGCCAAGGCTGCCGGTGCCTGCCCGCTGGTAGTTACGGATATTGACGATGGACGTCTGGCTTTCGCCAAGGAGCTGGTGCCCACAGCCATCACCCATAAGGTCGGTCGTGGAACCGCCGAGGAGGAGGCCAAGCGCATCGTTGAGTCCTTTGGAGGTGTTGAGCCGGCCGTCGTCATGGAGTGCACTGGTGTGGAGAGCAGCATTGCTTCGGCTGTTTGGGCCTGCAAGTTTGGTGGAAAGGTCTTCATCATTGGTGTTGGACGCAACGAGATCAGCTTCCCTTTCATGCGCGCTAGCGTTCGCGAGGTCGACATCCAGCTGCAGTACCGCTACTGCAACACCTGGCCCAGAGCCATCCGTTTGGTGGAGAGTGGTGTTGTTGACCTCAGCAAGTTGGTGACACACAAGTTCAAGCTCGAAGATGCCCTCGGCGCCTTCGAGGCGGCTAAGGACCCCAAGTCAGGCGCTATCAAGGTCATGATCCAGAGCTTGGACTAAACCAAGCCTGATGGTTAGACGACACGATTGATTTTTTGGGCATAATATGGCGGTGCTGGCGATTTGGTGTCATGGATGGTTTTTTGACTATACTTTAGAGATATGTTCCCAATGAATTCGTATGACAATATGAAGCTTCCATTAGATTGACGATGCTTGTTTGTAGGCAGAGATGTGGACTGTTGGTGGGGGTTTTGGTGTTGGTGTTAAAAGTGAGGCGATGGGGATGACAGGATTTGAGCATTGTAAGGCAGTGACAAACTGCTGCCATCCAATACAAGGTAACTTAACCTCGATATGGGGCAGATAAGAATGCAAGAGGTATCCATAGGTTCATGGGAAGAACCCATTCTGCCCCAGCACCTGCCGGTGAACCTTTTCTCACTCAATGGATCTCACCAGTGAACTGTGCCTGCCTGCACCTGTGAACTGCCCTGTCACGCCTGCCCGCACTGAAAAGAGCCCCCACTTCCCTTCAAGAGATCAATTTTGTGATTGGTTAGATCTCAAAGCGGCATAGTCCGCTGGGCCGACGGGTGCCAGTGCCTCTTTCCCCTGGGAGCAAGGGAAAAAAGGTACCTATTCCTTGTACCTGACCTTAGCAATTGACATTTTTCATAAGCAGGAAAAGAGAAGAGCGCACGGGCCATCGCTCCTCCGGCTCGCAACAACAGCACAAGCGAAATCTTCCGAGAGGTCGGGCAGACTCTGGCAAGAGAGACAGAGAGAGCTCTTTTTTTCACTTTACGCAAAAAACATCACTCACCACCACCCCCTTCCCATCAATTGGCAGCCAACGAAGCTCCTTCTTCGACCCCGGAGCCGCCCACATCGACGCACCCCGATCCGAGATCCAGATACCCCGATTTTTAATCCGTCGACCTCCTCTCTCTCTTCCACAACCGCCCAACCCCCCGGTCCAAGATGTCTTCCGCCCTCGCCCGCCCGCTCATGCGGACCACCGCTCGCACCCTCCCTTCCCGCGTCGCCGCTCGCTTCGAGTCAACCACCACCAAGAAGGCCACCGAGTCCGCAAAGGATGCTGCCGGCAAGGCCAGCGAGTACTCGGCCAAGGCTGCCCAGGGCCTGAGCCGCGCCGCCAGCGCCGCCGGCCCCGCTCTGTCTGGTGCTGTGAACGCCCTCGGCAAGGTCGGCGGTCGCACCGGCAAGGTCATCAACTTCATTGAGAGTACGTTTCAATCCGGTCACGAGAGGATCTCTATGAGCAGAGGCGCAATTGAGCGCGCACCCTTGACTTCAAGGGCCAATTGCTGACGGATGTCCGACTACAGAGCAGGTTCCCTGGGTTGTCTACTACTCCCGCGTCACTCTTGAGCTGTCCAAGATTGTCTTCCACGGCCAGAAGATGGCTCCTCCGTAAGTTTTCAGCACCAGAGCGAAGCGTCTTGTCCGCCCAGCTTCTGACGAAAGAAATACAGCCCCGTCAGCACCTTCCAGTCCTACTTCCAGCGGGCCCTCGGCGCCGTCAAGAACCCCAACGCCCTCCTGAGCTCCGCCTCCTCAGCCGCCAGCTCCGCTGCCAACACCGCCGCCGCTGCGAAGCCCGCCACCATCGCCTCCCGCATTAACACCGCGACCGTGGCCACCGGTGCCGTTGTCGCTGCTGAGTGCCTCGGTTTCTTCACTGTCGGCGAGATGCTCGGCCGCTTCAAGCTCGTTGGATACCACGGCGAGACCCACGCCGCTGCCCACTAAACGGAGAAAGAACCTTTTTGAACTTTGCTCTCCACCGCCTCGTACCGATTCGAAACGACGACGTGAAGGAGTAGAAGTTTGTTTCCCGGGTTATTAATTCAAACTGCATCTAAAGAAAAAGAGCGCAAATGGTGGCTTCGGGTTATAGAAACTGGTAGGAAAGGGGGTGTTTTTATTTTGGAACCAAATGACATGAATGCTCGATGCCCGTGGTAGAGATTCATGTTATCCAGTGGCACAGCTCCCTACCGGTCGAGATTCCCTTGACCGTTCACGGGAGCTGATGTATTGGAAGAGCAGCAAAGAGAGAATCAGTCTCGGGGGCCTTGGATCCGGCCACCGCGTACACGTTTTCTCAACAGGCCACCTTATTATTTCCTTATGTAGACTCTGTACATCACACACGTCAACCGCAGCCCACCCATGCTGCGAAACCTGCCTCCTGCAGGTAAATAACAGGAAACCTTTTGAACCAAATGGCGCTCGGTGGAATCACGTTCGTAAGAGTGTATCAGATTGAAAGCAGAGGGTGGATCTGATACTTTGCATTGGCAGGAGCCTTGACCTTGAGACGTGACCAGCACTCTGACTGGTTTGATGAGAATGAGATTATCCCTTTGCCTGTCCTTTCTCCCTCTCTGCTGCAACTCTCTTCATTTCGAGAGATCATATTCGACGATGAAAGTTATTCCTTATTGGGAACGGACTGGCAAGCTCAATGTTATAGCGGACCCTGCCATCTTCTCATTCAGCCCTTTTGATGTTACTATAGATAGGCAGCCGAAGCTGTGACGTATTGAGATCAGGTATACATTTTTATGCTCAACGACCCTCGATGACAGCCCGGAGCTGCGTCACAACGTCACTATCAACTGAGCTGCTCGCCCTAGCCAAATTCAGGAGAGTTTAGCCGTTCTACTTCCCGCGTATTTGTCCTGACGGCCCGAATTTTCCATCCATCACTCCAAAAGCGTGCAAGGCTATGACGCTCGAATACTGGCGGGGGTTATGTAGCTAGGAGTGATGAGATTGTGACCTTCATCTTCAATCAATATTCACCCTGACTAAAATTAATAACATAGAGCTCTTCCCTCCCTGTCGTCTGTTATTATTCTCTTCGCTACCGGCTCCGGTAGGACGTTGCGGTGATTCATCTCACTTCTCAGTGAAGAGGAGATGGATTCCTCTCGACATGGAAGGCACCTGCCCCCTCTCCTTCCTTAAACCGACGTACCTACCTACTTAAGGGGTCTATTCACCGTTGCCGTCACCAGCACAGCAGCGCCCGTCTAAGTCTGCGAGGTCAAGTCAAGCTGTGTGCGAGGTGGTCGACTTGGTTAACATGAAAACAAATACTCCAGTGAAGTCAGAGTCCGGGTTGACCGAGGGGCGCGCTGTTCGAATCTGGGCAGGGGCGTGAATTATAAGTTCAGTATTCCCCCTCCTTCCTTTCCTATCGTTTTTTGCCCTTACACTATGAACTTTTGCCTACATAAGGTTGTATCCCTCCTTTTGTCTTATGAATTAAGTACAGTTTGCTCTGACATGGAGTTATCAAGAGTAGAAAATCACGCGGCAGCCATCTACTGCGAATCCAAGCAATTATGCGATTGGAGAGATCCAATACTTGACAGGCAGATGGGCGAATCTCGTACCTCAAGGGATGTCCTCATTCTGCCTGGTAGTGATTGGCAAGGTAGATTCCCACGGAGAAAAGCTTTCTTCCCACTATCTCATGCTACTTCCACTATTCTTGATCGCCAGCAATGAGCATCCGACAGGCAGACGAGTATCAGAGGTATGACTTCAGGTCATGTCGTTGAACAGACACAGATAGCTCTATCAAATGCTTCGCTCATGGAAATACAGCCAGCCGTCCCAGCAGTCAAGAATCGGATCCGTCAACAGCGAGAGACCGTCAAATCATCGTCGCCGAACCTGATGCATACTATCAAAAAGTCTCACGTTACACAACCCGAAAGCCAACTTCTCTTCCATTTCCCTTACCAGTCTGCCCGAGAATCCGGTCACCGGTCAAAACGCAAAGACCCTACCTCCTTCCCCAACCACCAACCATCTCGTACTCATGCTGTCTTGGCGGGGAAGGCCTTCTCGTTGCCCCTTGGCCTCTCAGACAAGTAGTCAGGTAGAATGGGAGGATCTCCTTTTCTCTCCATCGAACCCAGCCCCCTCTGCTCATGCTTGATCAGGTTTCTGTCTACGATACCTGAGATGTATGGGCAGTGATTCAACATCGCTTCAATCAAACTGTACGCCGCACACTTACCGAAACCCCCGTTCGAGGCCCGTACCGTTTGCCACATGATCCCGTATTCGCACTCACAAACAGACCCCGGATCCCTCTCATCAAATACATACCGCTACCACTGTTTAAACGCCTCAATCTTGCATAGTGGCGTATATTGACATTCTTTCTGGACCGACACCCCCTTTGTGCACTCCCCCTCCCTCCCCCTATCTACTACACACTTGACACTTGGCGGCCGAGGCGGCGTAGCATAGAAGGATCAAGGTGCCAACCAACAACTATCCGGGCAAAAACGTTCCCCAGGGTATATATCTTTACCAGGAAGAGGATCCCACGAGTTAGCCTTACGGAACCCAAATGTTTGGGGACTTCCCCCCCCCCCCCCCAAATGGTTGGGCCCTTTTTACCATTCCCTCGGGTCGGAGTGAAAGAAAGGAACAAACAGACCGTTTTCATGACCCCTGAACATTGCTGAAAAAGGCAAATGGTCCTCCCTCTGGGGGAGGTGTTGATGGTGGTCAGCGAAGATCTGAGAGAACCGAAGCCGGTAAGGTTTTTAACATTCTTTGGGGCCTAGGAATTTCGCAAACGAATATCTGGGTTTGCCAAGTCTTCCTCGCCTGTCTTCTTTTCTGTTGATTGATGGCCTATGCATTTTTTTGTTTGGAGAGGGTCATGACAGTAGCAGGGGTTCTCGCCGGTACTTAGACCTGATGGATTATCCCGTAGTAATAGTGTGGCCTTGGTATCCGTAATGTATATGCTCTTTTTCGTAGGAATGATGTTGGATCATTATCTCTCCTCATCTTTTATATGGCCTAGTCAACCTCGCTTTTACGCAAAGATGGAGGGGAAGCTTGGAAAGAGGATATATCAATATTGAAATTGTATCTATGCCTTCGTCACTCGTTGCAAGGATCCTCGAGTGACGACCGTACATATCTGTAATCAACCAAGTTCTCGGCAACGAATTTCACAAATAACAGGCCACCCTATAGCCTCATCACGATGACAG